AATAAAATTCTTTAAATCGGGAAATTTTGTTTGCGATTGTTGAAATAATAGTCATTAAAAATAAATTTTCTTATGGTAGTAATAGATAGGATGGGTTGATAAATCTATCTGACTGATTGGTAATGTTTGGACTTTTATTTTATCACAAATTTTGTTCTAACGGATAATGAAATTTTGCGATTCAAATAAATTTTAAACTTTTCATGCAAATGATAATTTTACAAAAAGCGTAGTAAAACTGGAATAAATTTAAACTTAATATATTAAATTTTGCCTTTGAGATCAATCATAAAATCAGCATTAGCCGCATGCGAGCATATTTTATTGATATCATATATTTAGTGATTTAAATAAAGTATTTTTATGTGAAGACATTTTATTGATATCATATACTGATTGATTTAAATAAAGTATTTTTATGCAAATATATTTTATTGATATCATATACTAATTGATTTAAATAAAGTATTTTACTGATATTTATACGCTTGATTCAAATAAAATCTATATATATATATACCGATTGGAAATAGCTAAATATTATAAATATTTATTTCTTCCTAAATTGAATTTTTTATCAAAAAAATACCAAAACCAAAGAAACATCATATTAATAAGGATTGTTCAAAAGCTATTCATACTGATACAAAAACTAGAAATTTAGTTGAATGCAAATATACATTACATTGTCATGATAGTAGATGGGTAAATCCTAAAACGTTTGACAGACATCAATAAGAAATAGAACGGTTTTAATACATTACTTCCAGATAACGTTATTCTTCAACCTCAAGAAGTATTAAAAATAATTCTGTTATAACTGAAACAGTATCAGCTTCAAAAAGAAAAAAAGTAATTAAACCAGTTGAACAAAATCACAGTTCATATGAAGATACACCTAGTGATGATGAACCAACTCCAACTGTTCTAACAGATTAAAATTTAATCAATGTATCAAATAAACAAAAATGTTAAGAGATAAAATATAATATTCTTGATTATAATGATCCAGAAATTGTTTCAGATCTATTAGACGATAGGGAAGATTATAAAATTCTGATTAATGATGAAGAGTCCTCTACAGAGGAAGATGACCGTACTTTGAGTGAAGACAGTAAAGATGATATTCTGTTTGAGCAATTTACTGCTTCTGATTTCGACGATTTTGATTCTGATTTGGAATATAGATATTCTAATACAAATATTAATTTTGATGATTTATGGATAGTGTTATGAATATTCAAGTATCAATCAAGATTCCGTCTTCCAGACATTGCTATTGACATACTTATTAGATTTTTTAGGATAGTTTTGTTAGAAACTGATTGGTTACAATTTAAAGGTTTTCCAATAAGTTCCTATATGGCAAGAAAATTGTTAGGAGTCAAAAGACAAGAAAAAACATACGTAGTATGTCCAAAATGAAATGCTTTATATAAAATCTCAGAAATCTTGACAAAAAATGCGACCGATCAGTCAAGCTCTAGATTCAAATGCATTCATGTGGAATTTCTAAATCACCTGAGACATAGCAGGAGATAGCCATGTAGAGCTAAGTTGGTCAAACATGTACCAGTAGTAAAAGGCTATATTAAAAGGCCTAAGATCATCTTTCCCTTATCATCTTTAAGATCACAAATAATTGCAATGTACCAGCGTTCAGATTTTGAATCTCTTCTGAGAAAATAGACAAATTGGAATACTGAGATTGGCTTGATATCAGATATTTATGATGGTAACATTTGGAAAAATTTCCTTCACGACTTGATACAAGTGATTCTCGATTTTTCACACTGAAAATAGCTGATCTTCATTTAGGAATTATTATTAATCTCAATTAGTTTTAACTATTTGAATCATCAGCATACAGTAATAGCGTGATTTACAGAGCAATATGTAATCTTCCTCGAGGAGTCAGATTTAAACGAGAGAACATGTTATATCTAGGATTACTACCGGGGACTAAGTGAAATCAAACTGCATAGAATTAACCATTATCTCTCCCTGTTCATTGATGAACTGTTAGAATTCTAGAATGGAATTAGGCTGTTAGCTACATATGATCATCCTACTAGAAGAAATATTCGATTAGTAGTAATATGCTGTTCTAATGATATACCAGCAGCAAGAAAGATTTGTGTTTACATATCAGCATTATTCACATGCTATAGATGCTATAAAAAAGTAAATACCAGTGATAATTTTAGTGGGTTCGATGACATGACCGATTGGTTTCAAGAACGTGATCTTGAAGAACATTGATAGAATGCTAAAGGATGGTGATAGTGCAAGTTTAATGATAAAAAGGAAATAATATATTTCTACAACACTTGTTAGGTGGTCAGAAATATTAAGATTACCCTATTTTAATCTGATAAGACATCTTATCATCATTATTGATAATGATGTATTGAGTGAAGCTCACGATCGATTACTTCAAGTAGCTCTTTTAATTGAGGAACATTATGGCAGGAGATGATAACTCCAAATATTCATTTGTCTTTACATATTGCTGAATGTTGCCGTGATTATGGACCATTGTATTCTTTCTGGTGTTATTCATTTGAAAGAATGAATGAATTATTAGGTAAATAATTATAATGATTGTTATTGATACTTTAATTCATATTCAATTACTAATTTTTTGTTCTCTTTAAGTTTTTTTCCAAATAGTCAGCGATGTATTGAACTGGAACTTTTGCGTATCATTACATAAAATTCAAGATTGAACAACCTAATTTCCAATCAATCAAATAATCTTAAACTAATTGAGACGCTCGAATTAGTGAAATCTCAGCTAACAACTGGGAGTTTAGCATCATATGATGGATTTGATTTTGCTAAATTATACTGATTCATGCAAATTTTTCATCATAATCTCGATGATACAATTACCAGTAATGAACAATTTCTTGGAAAAATGATTACACTGAGAAAAAATAATGTCTCTACCAGATGATATTTATAAAATATTGATCTAATATTATAATAATGCATACGATTAGAAGTTTGTAATGATCGCTGAAGTAGCTTCTGATGAATTGATATTAGAAGACTATATTATTGTATTACCACATGTGAATCAATACGGACGCATTTAGATTGGAGCTGAAATCTTTGGAGCAACGATAGCACTAAGGTATTTGAAAATTCGTATGTTATAGCTAAGTTTAAACAAAACAACGAATTAACAGATATATTCTCTGGTTAAGTCCAATTCTTTTTCACACATACAATTGAACTTCCAATCAGTATAAGGATATATCATTTGGCTTTCATAAAATGGTATCGGCCAGCGCCTAACCAACAAATGAGATTTTATTGTAAACACTAGTTGAAATAGTCCAAATCGGCTAAAAAATCAGATGACTGATTTTAGGCCGATTTTGATACTATTTATGGCTGATTTGCCATATTTTCCGATCAGTACAAACAGGTGCAGATAGACGCCGATGGACCCCAATCGGACATGGCCATTCAGAACTTAAATTCAACCATAAATCCGCCTAAAACTGGTCTCAATTCGGCAATAATTCAGACGTCAATAGACGCCGATTGACTCCAATCAGACATAGCC